GGTGAGATATTCCAAATTTTCAGCATTTTTTTTTAAAGAACCATCTTAAAACGTGCTTTATTGGAATGAGGTAATCATCTTGCATCTTATTGTCGTCGAAGACAGACTTACCCATATAACTGAAGGCTGCATATGCAATCGCCAAGTGAGAGCTTGGACTGAATGTACCACGAAGACTTACATGGAATCCGTTGATGATCGGCGCGATGTGTTCCCTGTGTATTAGCGATTGTTGATTCGTTGGATGTCGAATAACTTCCAATGACATCAGGGCCGAAGTTGGACCCTCCTTGATGATTAATTCCGTATTGCCGGCTGAAAAATAATCATGTTTATGGAAAAGCCGATTCTGTCTATCTTTCACAATTAGAATCATGCTTCATTAATTTCATCTTTTCTATGAAACACTATGGATAAATAGACTAATTTAAATTAATTGATAAAAATGGAAAGAAAAACAAAGTTTTATATTTGATTTCTATCATTTTTTCGATTTCTCCTGCTTTACTCGTTTTCCAAGTTTTCTATAGAACATTTATAGAAATGCAATCGTCGTATTGTTAGATATTTTAATAAAATATTTAATTTGTTTTGCAACGTACCCATGCCAGCGAAACTCACTACCTTCAGATACATATGCGTCTTCATATGCAAGAAGTTCTTGGGTGGTCTGATTAGCCAAACGCAATCATAAATCTTTACTCCTCGACCGACCATGTTCATCATCGTGATGGTACCGCCTAGGTTTTCCACATATCCACCACAGTCGGTGATCGGTTGTACAGATTTATCATATGTGTGACCGATGACGAAGGAATAAAAGGCTTTGTAACCAAGACCTGTACCACCATTCGCATAGAATCTTATCAGTAACGATGAACCGGAACTCATTATGACTGGCGGCCGAAATCGGGCACCGCTACTCACGTCCAAACGTTCTCCATTCCAATCGTAAAACTGCTTACGGTAAACGAATCAAGAACTAGTAGTCATGAAATTATTTAAAATTTAACAGAATAGAAAAAAATTCAAAAATTAACCAAAGTATCCGCATAAATGTTCTAATGTATTAAACATATTCTTCAGATTTGCAAATTATATTTAATTATTCTTATAAAATATTAAAAACGATCGTTTTAGAAAAAGAGATAAAACTAGAATATTTGACCAATTTGTTGATATCAAAAATTCCTTTGATATCAAGAGATAATTAGAAATGTACCTCTATTATAGAGACCGTCGCTAATTGAAAGTCGCTAAACAACAATCTGATGCGACAGGAGAGGGTCTCATTGGGGCATGTTATGATATATTCCAAACCCAAATCACGGGGATATGGAGCCGGAAAAAATGGCGACATTAGAATACCTCCGCCGGTACCGTTTAAACCCTTTGTTGATATTCTTGATGTCATTTCAGTCCCTTTTAGATGCAATCTATTTTCTGTGGAACAAAAGTGTCGATTCCAGAATAATTTGTTCATCGCGGCTACAATAACGTTCGATTTAAAAAAGCATTTATATCGCCGTAATGAGTAAATACGTTAAAAGCATATTCGTGTCAGCACTCTACGAAATTTCACAAATAGAATTGATACAAATAGATTTACTGCGAATAGAATAAAGAATTTAAAATTTTGTCTAATCCAATTAGAGTTCTGTATTATTTTAATCTTTCGCGCAATATATTAATATCTGAGCACTATTTCGTATTCCGCCATTAGTATTAAATCTAAATGCATATCACAACTTAAAAAAAATTATGATGTCACGATATCATGGTAAGTTACTAAATAATTTCAATAAGTAAATAATTTCATATAAGTGATAACTAAAAATTGTAACTATAGTGGAGATATTAAGAGATGTCATTATAACTACTACACTACTAGACATAACACCATCTTTTCTTCCGTTACAATATTACTAACTACTTCCTTACTTTCTGCCGTATATTCAATGGTAAACGCGTGCTTGTGAGATTGGCTATAGAATAGAGTTATAGATAGAGTTCTCGTGCTTGATCTATATGTGATCGGTGCGTACAATCCACAGAAGGGTGTACCAGAAATCTCTTCATAAGGTGGTTCTGAGAGCCACACGTAATCGCATCTATAAAAACGTATATATGATTTCAAGATAAATTATTTTCACGAAGCATCCTAAGAGTCATATAGATCTAATTGTAAGTTACATCAGTAAGTAATTGAGTTAAGGCAATAATTCTAATACAGTTTTCTAGACATTGCTTCTAAACATCATTATCATTCGATATATGAGAAGAACTAAATTTTTTAGTTTAGTTAATTATATTAGAGGAAAATCACAAATACCGATATATCCTTTTGCTTTGAACAATATTTCTTAAATAAAAGCTGAAAGTAAAATTTTAGAAGCATAAATATAAACTATAAAGTGTCTTCTGTTAAATAATATAGCAGTTTTTATAATACTGTTTGCAATTTTGCAAACAACAATTAACTTTTTTTTTTGTAAGATAAGCAAAAATACTATATTCTTATTTTTTTCCTTTCACAAGAGCTACATTACATATATTTTATATATATTTTTAAAGAAATATATGATAAGAATATGTATTGCTTTAACATAGCAGTCTGAATGTGAATAAGTATAAATAAAAAAATGTTTAAAGTTGAGTTTTATCATGCTATGTATACATATGCAGATAAGCAATATCTAAATCAGTTAAAATTCATATAATAAAATAAATATCACAGGTTGTTATTCATATAATAAAATAAGTTCTAAAACGTGTTCTAAAAGATTATTTATGTTTTACAATCGAATTCGATATAAGATTTTATTTCACTCGATAACATATATCCAGTAATCGCCGATGTATCGATATCTCACCTGCATGGGCTATTCATGATGATTTCTCCGTCGCCACAATTATTAGGAAGCGCGATATTTTTGAAGATGAGAACTATCACACAGGATGGACAAGTCACTAATTCAAGGCTGCAATGATAATGTGAACTGTTAATTGTCGTGGCGTAAGGACGCGGCACCAGTTGCCTCGATAAATTTTTGACAAAAGTGACGTTCTTTGCATAGAGGATGCTTCTCTCGTTCAGCTCCAAATACAGGCGTCTACCATTATAAGATCCACAAATGTCATCGTTTCGAATAATATTCGCAGTTGTAGTGAGGATCCACCAGAATATCGGAAAGATCACTGAACGATTTTGCAAAACAGAAATGCACAAAATACAATTTATTTCTGAAAACTTATAATAGAAAATATCTTTACGCGCGCGCGCGCGCGCGCGCGCGTGTGTGTGTGTGTGTGTGTGTGAAAAGGAAAAATAAGATTTCATAAGAATTAATATTCCAAAAGAGAACATAACTTTTTTACGGAGACATTATTTTTTTGAAAAAGAGATAAATAGATAACTTTGTAAATATTTTCCACGTAAATTGCGATGAACTAACGACATCAATCATTGTATTGCTTACCGTATTTGAAATGAGACATATTCGTAGCGCGAAAAACGACTACTGCATTTTCCGTTAGGAAACCCGTGATTGTGTATAATTTCGTTAACGCAGTGACGGTGCAATATATCTCGCTAATATCGAATAAGGCATCTCTTATAAGGTATCTTTTAAGCATATCTATCCCGCAAAGTTCAACAAGATTATATTATAATAAAATCAATATAAAAAACTATCTTATACGCAATATAATTTTATTTTTAAAGTTTTGTAGCTATGATAATAAATTCAACAGATTATTTTGTTTATCGAAATTATCTGGATCTAAGATTATAAGATACAAGTAAAGTAATAAGTGCAATTTATTTCTTTCTTTTGGAAAAATTATGTTATTTCGTTTATAATCTAATTATGATCTAATTTTTTCCGTGTTGAAAAATCAAATAACAATGGCAATTACAATAAGAAATATTTTTGATAAGACGGGTCTCTCTTTCTAGAAAGAGAGACCCGTTTGCTACAAAACAATTGTTTACAGTTCCCTTTATATACGCTGGATATGTTCTCTTTTTACTGTCAGTGCAATAATCACAAATAGTCCATTGCCACAGCCGTTTCAAAATTATTTTGATACTGCTAGCAGCACTATGATGTCGTATTTTGGAACAATAATGCAGTAATTGCAATAGACTTATAATAGACACGGCAGATAAATTCATTAAATCAAAATGTCAATATGCATAATTAGCATTAGAGGTTTTAAACAAAAACATCAGTGGTAGTCCATTCAAAGAATTTATTTGCTTCTAGATTTAATAACTATTTTTTATATAATCAAATTATAAAAAGATAAAGGAGCTATATATTTAAAGAAATATATTTATTGTAGACTAACAATTATACATACATATAGACGTCAATCTTTTCACATCAGATCCTCTACACACAGTTTACAATGTAAAAAAGTTATATTACATTAAATATTTTTTATAGTAATATTGTATAATTTTATTACACTAAAGAAGACCTTATGTGAAAGGTCGAAACGTCTGTATGTATGTTTGCATAATTGTTAGTTTACAATAAATATATAAATATTATATAGTACAAACAACAAGTATGGCTCTTTTGTCTTTTTACAATTTGATTATTTGAATTTTATTCGTTGGAGTCTATTACATTGATTTTCATTTTAAATTTAATTTTTATGTTTCTTTATCAAACGTTATATTGCATTGTAACTGCCTTATGTCGAGAGTATGAATTGAGAGCTACAGTAGTGATAATATTATTAATGTTACTACAACGTTGCAACAATATTGAATAAATTATATATAATATCCAAAAAATGAACAAAATAGAACATCGTGTAAATATTGCAATATTATTAATGTTGTTAGAACGTTGAAATAACATTGAACAAATTATATATCGATATCCAAAAAATAAACAAAAATAGAACGTTATAAAAATTACGTCATAAAAAACATCATACAAATTAAATAGAAAAAAAAATTACTTATATTGATCTTTTAACGAAACTCATTTCAAACGTTATTTACGCGGGAATCAGTCGCGCGCAAAGTTGGGTAAATTCAAGATGGCAAACGGCTTGCTTGCTGAACGAATAAGCATGATTGGTTCTTACCTATGGATCCAACCAATTGACTGATTTGATGCGCGACGTCGACTCATGGTTTTTTTCTACATATTCTCTCTATCTATACTCATTGTTCGTGTCTGGCGTATCGGCTATTTGTTATCGTGTGTTGAATTCAATTGAATCTTGACAATATTCGCTGCTGCTCGAGATCGCTTGAGATTATTATTAACTGCAGGCAATAATAAGCATCAGGTGCATATATTTTATTTTGTTTTATGTATTCCGGAGTTTTTATTGATTCTGTGAAATGAAATTACGTATACGTATACATGATTAACCTGTTTTAGAGGTTACGTATGATACACATGGGATATAGAAAAACGTATTTTACATTTTTACTGCAAAATCGAGATGTATGAGGTTATGGATATATACCTTTTATTATTACATATTGTTAACATTAAAAAGTTTAGGTTGTATGCATTTCAAAATCGGTAGGATGTTCCGTAACTGACGATGGTAACTGTAACCGAGTAAGAAGAATAATACATGACAAAATAAGTAAAAAATGTAGAATAAAATTGTTCATATGGGACTTTATTTTCGGGAAAATTGAGTTTAAATATTTACCGGATACGTATGTACAATTTAATGAATCTCACTATAACATTATCTCTATTAATATTTGTAATGTTTATAACTATATTGAGTAATGGAGAATACATACAAGACAATTTTGTTATTATTATAAATTATTGAAAATGTTGCCTGTAAATAAAGTCTTATCATATAAAAAAAATGTTACATTCTGGACATATTTTTTCATGTATACATATATAGTAGACATCTTTTTTCAATTATAGCAATGATTATGTTAAAACATTTTGTATATTTATTTAGCTTCAAAATATGTTTACATAAGTAACTTTGTTTTGTTAAAAAATCTACAATGGTTGGCGAAGTGATTAATGAGTAAAAATACATAAAAATTTAAATTAAGTTTTATTTAAATTAAGTATTATTTAAATATTATTTTTAGATTAAGTTATATAATGATGTGTTACAATAATATAATATTTTTAACTAAAAAGTACGGAATATACAAAATATGAATAAGTATAATAAGTATAATAATAATCATACAATAATATACAAAATGTAATTTTTAAGAAAAAATACATAAATTATTTTATTAATAAAAGCAAAACTAATTACATAAAATGATTCTCAATTTTATAAAAATTTAAGATTATTTTTATATTATGTACATTTTTTATTTTCAAAAGAATTGAATAAAATAAATGTATAAAATTAATCTTTAAATTGTGGAAAAATCTAATTTTAAAAATAATATTGATTTTTTTATTTTTATTTTTATTTTTTTTTATAAAATTCGTTTTATATACTAAAATATACTTTTATATCTACAAATAAAGTATATTTTAAAAAAGCAGATCAGAAGAATCAATTTTAAATAATAAAAAAGAATCAATATTATTTTTTAAATTGTCATTTTTTCCACAATTTAAAGACTAATTTTTGCGCCTTTTGTTCAATTCTTTTGAAAATACAAAATGTATTTAATCTATATGAAATCTATCTTGCTTATACATTAAATAAACATTGAATGAACGTTGCATATACTTGAATCAATGTTGAATTGTAACATCTGTAAGATATATATGTCCGTATTCATAATCAGACCTTATATTTAAGACTTCTTTAAATTTATCTTTAGATGCTCAGTAGCCAATAAAATAATTTGTAGAGCATCTGAAGATAAATAAAGAAGCCTTAAATATATGACCTTGCTATGTGAATACAATATACTCAACGGACATTAGACGTTTCTGCAATGTCTTCAATATAGAATCTATATTTTGCGATGTAGCTGCAGTGTTCACAATGTTGCAGTTCAATGTTTCTGAGATATTGATTCAACGTTAGTGTGTTGTAGCATGTTACGATTGACAATGATTTACTACGTTGTGATTGATCATGTATTGATTGATCACGTTGTGATTGACTCGGTTTTGGATGCAGCTTGCTCATCGAGCGATTGGTTCTTACTTATGATTCTAATCATTTATTTTTAATCGCTCTACGAGCTAAGCTGACTTCTAAAATCGAAAAAAGTGTGCAATCTCTTAGTTGACGAGTGTACATGTCTAATCATAGGAATGTTTAAAATAAATGAGCTACATGGAGAGAATGTTTTTTTAAATGAAAATATGATAATCGTGGGACAATATTGTATTTCGAAGAATTTTATGTAAATCTCTCATTTTCTAATAAAACTACAATAAAATATAAAATAAATTTGATTAATTTTGAAGTGCATGATAAAAAGCTTTAAAGTACCATAACTATCATATTTCCAGAATAAATTTTAAGAGAAAATTCTTTTTGTGTAGTTTTTTTTATAATATAATTAGGAATGATTAATTCTATAACGTCCACAATATTTCCAAGAGATTCCAAATCCAATTAATACTATTTACTATTATTTCATATGATTAACATAAACATGTGATTTCGATGTTTATATATATATATATATATAAGAAGCATTGTTTCTTTGTTTTTTTTTTCTATACAAAAGACTTAATTTAGTTTTATTTATATGAATGTAACACATTGATTGTAAATAACGAATTGGGCATATACTTACTTCTACATATTTGTATAATTTCGAAACAACTTATTTCAATCAGCGTATCTACGTTTCACAGAAAGTTATTCTTGTTGAAATTACGCCAGTTTCCATTTACATTTCGCTTCTCGCGCCCATTATATACACGATGCATCGATGTCAGCATCACACGTCGGTCTCACCGTGCAATAAATTTTCTGAGCGACTGATGATATTTTGAGATTGTGGCTTATCTTAGTCCTTGTTGCATCTCACATTCTCTTCTCCGTCACCTCCGAAGATGCATTCAAAAACAGTCTCGTTGCGAGTTGGATAATGTTGACAGTGGTTTCATTCATCGTTTCGTATATTTTTGATTTCATCCTGCCCCCACTCCCTATCCGGCCTATCATCCTTCATCGCCACCGGTTTCCTCTTACGTCTGTGGGCATCACTTGTTGCTGCATTGACGCATCGTCTCCTACATACAGGGTGTTTTGCAACTATCGCATTACATTTTTAAAAATGTGTTTATGAAATAATTTTGAATTGAAAATTCTAATACGAAAATATCGAGGCTATAATACTTTTTAAACACACACACACACACACACACACACACACACACACACACACACAAAAGAAATATTTTCAGTCATAATTTTTCTCTTTTTTATTTTTTATCATTTAAATTATAAAAAACCCAACAATAGAATCTTCATAATTACTATAAATCGTAACAATATTATCTGTAAAATTTCAGCTCATTCGGAGCAGAGTCCCGGTTCGGAAGAACACATATCCTGTATGGTCGATGCTGGATCTTGGTATATCTCCTAATAATATTTGCTAATAGTATTGTATAATAATAATATTATGTAAATTTTTTAATATATATTTTACATTTTTACAGTATCACGAATTGCTAATTACTATCAAACTT